GTGCCACTGCACTCCAGCTGGGTGACAGAGCGAGACTCTGTCTCAAAAAAAAAAAAAAAAAAAACTCAAGGCATACAGCCAAAGGAATGGGTACCTAAATTCTCTTCCACATTAAATCTGGAACGCCATTATTCTAGAAGCTGGGGGGGAAGAGGTGTGTTATATGAGGCCCAAGAAAAGGGGAGGTCTGTACTACCTTTCTGGAGAGCGTGATATCAGCTAGCCCCTCACTCCCTCACCCCTGAGGCAATTATCACCACAGTCAAACAGACTTCTTCGGAATTGGTAAGATGCCATTTTGCCATTTACCTGGTCAGACAGGCCTGTAAGAGGTGGTATAAAATGCATCAGCCTTTCCTGAATGCCCAGGTAGTGCCACCTTCTAATACATACACATACCCCTTCGGCCTTACCAGGCTCTTCTGACATCTTCCTTCCTGCACTGGGCCAGACTCTTCGGAGTTGCTCTCTTTGCCCTGAGGTGTTTGTTTTTGTAAACCTGAACTTTTCAACCTTTAAGTGGTATCACAGTAGTCCCCAAAGCCTTCATACTCACAAGCTAATCAAAGGCTGGCTCCTCCCCACGGCCCAGGACTAAGGGCAGACCTGTCTGCAGTCAGAGAAAAGCCTCCCAGAAGGATGCTGCAGAGCCCTGCCCTAGGGTTGGTGGGGAGGACACTCTGTCATTTTGAATCTGTTGGAATTAAATAGCTGCCTGCTTATTTTTAGCAGGTCCATTTGCCTGGGAATAGACGCACGCTGGCTAGTTGCCAAGTGGTCACACAGAGCTGAAGTCAGGCACGTGCTACAGCCAAAGGCCTCAGCATTCATCTGCTCACTCCAGGTTCCAAAGGATCTCTTCTTTCTCCAGGGAGGTACCTGCAGCTTCTCAGAACAGCCCTCAGAAAAGTAATGGCCCCACTCTCAACTCAGCTGACAAACCTGGTAACTGCAGACTAGAGCCGTCTGCTAAACAAGAAAACAAATCCCTGGCAATGGTACATAGAGTGTTGGTCCCAGTGACTAAGCCAATTTGGCTGCAGTTACTGCAAAAAGAGCCACATGTAACTGATGGGAAAGTCCACCATAAAAACAACAGCTTAGGAGCCAAGGGCCCAACAAGCCCAGTCTGGGCTTGGGCCTGGTCAGTGAAGCCACATCCACTTTGCGTTCTGAATGAGCATTTACACTGGAATTTGAACATTTCTTCCGTTACTCCAGTGTTCACACTGACAAAGGCTGTCCCCACGTGTTCCACCAATAGGAAGGAGCCTGCCCAAGACACTCCACCTCCCAAGTGCCCAGCTCATTAAGTTCCTGCTAAGGGACTCTTCCCCTTGAAGGGTGTCTTCCAAGGGCAGAGAATCAGAACCTAAAGCCCAGCACTTCAGCCACTGCATTCAGAGAATGACAGCAGGCTGTGGCCAGGCAGAGGCATACTCCCTTCCATGGGAGTTTGGTGGAGGAAAATCACAAACTCGGAGTTCTCTGTAAGATTCCAAGAGGGCCTCTTGGCTTGTATCAGATGCATTTACCTATTTCCTCGTCAGGTCACAGTCATTCACCTTGCTCATACATTCAAACATGTTTAAGTTGCTACAAGCAGCAGATTCTGATCACCAGAAGCGCACAATTCTGAAGGAAGAATCAATCTCTCTCACTCACTCACACACGCACACAGCCCTGTGCCATAAGCAGCCGTGCTGAGAAGTGGGCAAAGGGAGCCCAGGAAGGCTTTCTCAAAGACGGCCAGGATTTCCTTAGGCTGCAATGGGTGGGTGGGGAGGGGGACAGGACACAAATTGAGGTTCTAATATCTTTGGGCATGGGAGGGAACAGCGAGTCCCAGAGTAAAACAGGAACAAATCCTAGGAGCTGAAGTGCTGGTCGGACAAGACAAAAAGAGTTTGACATTTGCCACAGGAGCCATAGTTGCGGCAGTTGCAATGTGGTAAAGGAGAGTAGGTCACAAGAGGTAAAGGTCTGGGTGACCCTCAAGAGTGACTGCTATCCAATACTGGCAGTCACTTAGTCATGGGAGGTTACTGAGCACTTGAAATGTGACCAGTGTGACTAGGGCACTGAATTCTACTTCAGGTTAATTTAACTTGAACTCTCCACCTGCAGCTGACCCTACCTACTGGACAATGCAGCTCTAGAGCGTGTTCCCGGAAGACCCCAATGAACAGGAGGGCTGCATCAATGCTGCAGCGGCCAACACCTACCTTGCTGGGTAGTGCTCGGTTCTGCCACCAAGGGTGGGGGCGATGGTAGGCCTGGGCTGTGCACCCTCAGCAGCATGGCTGGGCCAGGAATCAGAGTGCTGGAGCCATGGCTCAGGTGTTGGTCCCAGCCCAGCCTCAGTGCTCACAGGACTGTTACCTTCATCCTCAGGGGCCTGTGTAAGTCACAGTAAGCTATGACTTCACGTGGGTACCCTAGAGATCCCAAAGGAGCTCACAGTGGGGCTGTGAGGTCCTGTCCAGGACTGTCCCCCACCCTCCATTGTGACGGCCCACAGAGCAGCCAGGGGAGCCAGTACAGCCAGACCAGCACGCTCTGGGGGTTGCTTTTGCCCTTCCATGTAGAGCAGCTGTCAGGAACTCGGGACACTTTCCCAGTCCAGTTCACAGAAGGAAGTCCAGAAGGCCAGAGGCTTAACCCAGTAGTGTCTGAGTACCTGCTTGGCAAAGCCTTCTACGGCCAAAATGGAAACCCTGAATCCACTACCAGGAATTCTAGGTAAGACAAGCCAAAAGTCAGAAAGACCATCTCTGGACATGGCCTCAAATTAAGAGCTCCTCCAGTCCAACTAAAAGTTAAAGTAACTCCTGCTCTGGAAAACAGTACACAAGGGTGAACTGCCCAGCCTCCTTCCTGCTCTGCCGGCCAAATCCATGGCAGGTCCAAGTCACATGCCTCTTTTCGTGAAGGAAAAATCATCAGCACCTCCTACAAAGGTCTTCCCAATCACTTCATTTGGGGGGTAGGGGTGTGGATTTTAAAACTTTGAAGACTACGTCACACTCACCTGGCCCCTCACCTCTGGCCTTGACAACCATCTTGCTTTACAAGTGAATTCCGACAGGACTCTAAAGATGGTCACAATGCAGGTGCCAGGAATGCTTTCCTGGGTACATGGAGTTCCCGCCCACGACCACAGAAGACATTACAGAGGACTGCCCAAAAGGTATGAAATGGCAACCTGACAACAACCTTACTTAAAAGCCAGTAAAGACATCAGAAAAGATGTTGGTGTGCAGCAAAAAACCCTTCACAGCGCCTCACGTGGGCAAAACCAAAGAGGTAGGACCCTGATCTTCCTCATGGCAGACTGTGAACTACGACCGCCCCAGAAATCACATAAAAGCATAGAAGGTAATTTCTATTCAACAAATAATTACTGGCACTCACAGGGAAAAGCATGGTGGGACACAAACTAATTAGGCAAGGCACTGCCCTCAAGGCACTTTCAGTCTGGGCAGGGAGTAGTGGAGACGAGGACGGAAGGAAAAAAAAAAAAAGCCCAAACAGGCCACCATGGTAGCTCATGCCTGTCATCCCCAACACTTTGGCATCACTGCACACCAGCCTGGGGGACAGAATGAGACCTGTCAAAAAAAAGAGGGGGGGACCCATTTTCACCATTACCTGGTACCCAAATCCAGATCCCCACATTTACAACTTCTCTAAAAAGTAAAGCCAGACCTTCTGCTGGCCTGGCCTGGCGGAAGGGCTCCACGGGCCTAGTTGTCTGCTGATTTCAGCCACACAACTGAAGGCCCAATCCATGCCTTCAAACATGCCTGTCCCTGCATGGATCGGCTGGCTTCTTGTGGGCCACAAACCATGCACACCTTCTCAGCAAGCTACTGAACGATGGGCTCCCCCAAGACAAGGAAATCAACCAAGAAAGGAGGGGCACTGGATCTACAAATGAGACAAGAGAAGGGGAAAGGGAATTCCAAGGGTGAAGGGGAAGCAGAGCCAGGGAAGAGGGATGCGCCCAGGAGCAATGTGGAACTGTTGCGAGCACCTGGTGTGTGGAGCCACGGTGAGAGCCACTTTCCGCCAATGACAGGAGTTCCACAGCAACGGTGGAGGCTGGTGGGACGGGGCATTGGGGGGTTAGGGAACTGGTGAGAGACAGAAAATTAAGCAAAAGAAACTAAGGAAATTAACTAGGAGAGGAGAAGTGGGGGAAAAGAAGAAATATGGGAAACTAAAAACCTTGCAGCCATAAACAAGGTTCATATTATAATAATGTATATTCTGAATAGCAACTTGACCAAAACTTGGGCTATCTCTACACTGGGATGATGAGGGAAGAAAAAAGCATAGGAACAAGCTAAGTCCTAGCTCCCACAGCAGAAAAACAAATCAGATAATAATCCTTAAAAAGAAAGAAAAGAATACTACTGACAAAGGTGGGGACAGCTGGAAGAATTGAAAGCAATGGGGGTGGGGAGCGGTGGGCAAAGGACTGTCCTTTCAAGCCTTGTACACAGTCAAAAGCCAAATCTTTCTACAAGTAATGTTTTGATAGAACATACATTATTAAGCTACATACAAGTAGCAACGCATGCTCTATTACCACGCAGCTTTGTTTCTTATTAACCATCCTAAATTTGCATTAATGTCAACTCATCTATGCACAAACTTGTAACGTCTTACTTTCCTATTATAATAATTGATGCCAATTGTGTGCTTCAGAGACCCCCAACTGCCCAGCTGACATAATATCAAAAAGAGAGTATGCTTATTGATAGTAAGACCCTTCTGGAAGCAAGGCACTGAAGGCTAGCCAGCATCAGATGGCTGGACCTCTCAGGGCTAGTCATTTAACAAAGAGTTTAACACGTACTGTGAGCCAAGTTCACTGGGCACACAAGGGAAAGAGAGCCTTCAGGAAGCAAAGGCGGAAGGAAGGGTAGAGAGTCAAATTATAGGTAAGATACTGCAAAGGTTCAGCGACTTAAATATAAAGACCTGCAGCCTCTCTCCACAGATTCAGAGAACTGAGCCCTAAGGCTGCCCTTGCATGTGATGAATTACCTATATCCCTGTGCGTGTAGCAGGGCACCAGCTGGGAGAGTTGAGGAACGGGTCACCCAGTCCTTTTCTGTGTGCTGTGGTTGAAACGAGAAAGGCTGGATGGAGCGCTTGGAAGGGGAAGCTGCAGACAGAATGGGGCGGGAATGCCTCTTGGAAGAGGTGGCATCAGAACTGGAACACTTGAGAGCTGTGCCAAGATCTGCGGGGAGGCAGGAGGAGTGGGGGGAGAAAGTTCCAGGCAGGAAGAACATGTGCCCAAGTCCTAAGGCAGGAACAGGCTTGGCTGACTCAAGAGGCAGCAAGAGGGGAGGTGAAGATGAGGTCAGAGCATGGCTCTCAGAGAAAGGGCTCTCCAACATCACTGAGCGGAAGGCCAGTCGGACTCGCAAGAACCCCAAGGGATATGGTCCACCAAACTTTCTCCAGGGGGGAAAATGATGTGCCTGAAGAGCCAAGCAGCTTTAGTTCTTAATTAATAAGCAGAAGCTGCTTCCAGACTTGTTTTCTGAAACAGGATGCCTCTGTGGCTGGTAGCATGACAGGTACACTGTGTAAGTAAACAAGGGCTTGCTTTTACCTTCATGTTGTCAGCGAATACACTTGCCAGAAAGTCCTGCGGCCATACCATACATTAGCCTTAGAAAGCCACCACTAAGGGTAAGGGGTAGTAAGCCCCCCTTACTCTCAGGCTCCCTCAAAGGAACCTGTTCCAATAAGGCAGTCCAGCCCCAGTAGGCAGACACACACAGCCTACGTAAGCCCTTGCCACTTCTTTGAATCGGACTTTACAAAAAACAACCTTGCTCTCCAGCCAACATAAACCATAGGCATGGCTTGAAGCTTTCTTAATCAGAAACAGATAGATGGGCTGGAGTGAGCAGCTCCAAGTTAGAGGGAAGGAGGAACACAAAAGGAGAGAAGACAGGGTGGCCTGGGGAACCAGTAAGCTTGCTGGTCAAACTGCTTGTTCACCCCTCTTCAGCTTCTGTGGCATCCCAGTAAAGAATTCTCACTGGGGGTCTATGGCTGTGCCTCCTTTCATGTTTGCATTTTGGTTTAAGCCAGAGGACACAAGGAACCAGACTGTCCACCAATCCAAACTATTAGAGATTTTTTAGTGTCCATTTAGTGGCCGGCCCTTAGATTGGGCAACTTCACACAAAAATGAAGTTATGGGGCCAGGCACAGCGGCTCACACCTCTAATCTCAGCACTTTGGGAGACCAACATGGAATGATCACTTTGAGCCCAGGAGTCTTGAGATCGGTCTGGGCAAGGTGGTGAGACCCCATCTCTACAAAAAAAAAAAAAAAAAAATTTTAATCAGCCAGGCATCATGATGATGTGCACCTATAGTCCCAGCTACTTGGGAGGCTGAGGCAGGAGGATCCCTTGAACCCAGGAATTCAAGGCAGCAGTGAGCTATGATCATGCCCCTGTACTCTAGCCTGGGTGACAAAGCAAGACCTCGTCTCTAAATAAATGAGTGAATAAATAAATAAATACATACATACATACATAAAAGTTTGTAATGGGGTTATGTGGTTTCCTGAGAAATTCGCTGCTGGGGCAACAAGGGGTCCTCACTCCCCAGGCAGCAGTCCTGACACCTAGCTCCCCAGCTCCCCGGGCTGCCTCAGTCACATGCCTGCCTGCACCAGGAGGCAGGCTGGGTCCCTGCCACAGATCCAGAATAGAAAAGGCAGCCCTGGAGACCTCTTAAGCAGCCACCCCCTCCACACACCCCTTGGCAGCTTCTAGGGTGGCTTTATTCTCCTCTCTCTCCTGACGAGGCGGTGGCGGCAGAGACAGCAGCAGCTTTGGCACCAGGATCTGTCCCATACACTGCAGCCACATGCACTTGGCCCTCCTAAAAGATGCCACCTGCTAAAAATAGCACCAGCACATGCCTGGCCAGGTGAGCCACACCAAACCCAAAGGACAAAGCAGGGAGGTTATTTGCAGCACGGCCTTTTCTCTCAGAGACAGCTAAAGGCAAAGCCGAGTATGGGTCTCCCTCCAAGACAGTTCAGGCAAGTGAGATTCACTCCTGCTCCTTTTTCTTGGGAGGGGCAGAAAGGAGGGGCAAGAAGGAGTATACAGAAGACTGAACTGTCCTTCAGATCTGTTGTCGACCCAGCCTCACAAAGACACACCCAGGCCCAGGCCAGAGAAGGGCTGGGGGCTGGGGCTCTGCTTGAACAGATCTTACTGTCTCCTCTAATCAGGAGGCCAGCTACTGCCAGGTGACAGCTTTTTGGAGGGCCAGGGGATGGTCTCGTGACCTCCAAGTGAGGTCTGACAGGTGTCCGGGAAATTAGTGACTTCAGGATTGTCTTTTACAACCAGCTCAGTCTTCAGAGCAGTTTCCCTGAGCCCTCAGGCACAGCTTTTTTTATTCATAGTCATTACTTGTGCATTTCAAAAGCACCTGATGGTTGCATAATTCTGATGATAAAATATGGCTTTGGAAAGACAAGAGAGTTAAGAGCAGGATCCTGTACTTCAGTTTCCCATAAAATGAAGATGTCCTGTCATATGGAGTAAGAATATCTCCCTCACAGAGTTGTAACGAGGCTGAAAACACTTAATAGTCAGACTCCATATGTGGGATAAATGATTTTAATCTTTTTAAAACCCAGTTTAGTTTCCTGAATGAGGATGTGGTGATAAAGGGGCAGTAAATAAGCAACAGCCTATGAGCATGGGGGACAGCGGGGCAGAGGAGGAGGTGGGGAGCACATCCCAACCCAGGCCCAAGGCCAGTCCAGCCCTCGCTGTGTCCTGGGACCAGCTTACCCTACTGGATCCTGTTTCTTCACCCACAAGCTAGATCACTGTACTAACCTCAGAGGGCTGAGAGAGAATAAAAATGACATAGTTAGAAAAAAAAAAAAAAACCACTAATATGCCAGTAGGCGCTTGTTAATACTTGTCTTTTATGCTGCCTGGCTCCAAGAAA